AATTGAATTCCCTTTACCCAAGGATACTTTGTGCCAAGTTTGATTGATATTGGCTCATGTGAGCTAAAAAGTGCAACTTCAATTAAACCCATCTGATAGATATAGTGATTACATAGAAACTGTTACAAATACTCAATATGGATAATAACTGAATACAAAATTAAATCAGCTAGCACTGGTTGAATAGATGAAATTAAATTTGGGATGCAGAAAGATGTAATTTTTTTTCATATTAAAAATCCTTTTAGTCGGAAAAATTTCCGGCTAAAAAGGTATTTAATGTACTTTTAATCTAAAATATTCAAAATACCTTTCGTTAACTTGCTATCTCTTCAACAATCTTCACGGTAAACAACCAATACAAAAAATTATCAACACAAAGTTTAAATGGAGCAGATTTCCTCAAACAATAGGTTATTATACTATAAAGTTATAAAGTTGGTTATACGGAAAAGTAGTTCGTATTAAAAAAATATTTGGGGATATTAATTATCACTACTTTTCATTAAAAATAAATTTAAAATAAATACATGTATAAGATTCTTTGATATGTAAGTCTTATTAAATCTAATATTATCTAGTTGTACAATAGTTGTTAGCATAACAGTATTCAATTCTATAGGCCTACAAGTCTACAGGTCTACAGGTAGACAGGTCTACATGCTCGTTGTACAATAGGTTGTTAATATTGGAGTATACAGGTCTACAGGTCAACAGGTCGACAGGTCTACATGCTAGTTGTACATGCATAGGTTGTTAGTATAGGAATATACAAGTCTACAGGTCGACAAGTCTACATGCTGGTTGTTAGTATTGGAGTATATAAGTCTACAGGTCGACCTGTGGTGATTGGGCAGAATGTGAAACTGTTTTTCATAAATATTATATATTTTAACGGGGACCATATTAACATGTAGACCTGTCGACCCGTAGACTGTCGACCTGTTGACCTGTAGACTACCCCGACCCGTACACCTGTAGACCTGTCGACCTTTATAGACTTGTCAACCTGTTGACTTGTTGATGTCAGTCTGTTTTTTTTTTTTATATATAGATTCATATATGCATATTTATGAATGAAATAAAATATAATTATATGCATATAATAAATATTTAAAAGTTCTTTCAATTCAAATTAATATCTGTTTAAGAGGACTAGTCACTCCTATTTCAATATGAGTGAATCCGCAGGAACTACATATCCGTATATTATACTTAACCTGGAAAATGAATGCACAAGTTCAAGTTCAAGTTCAATTTATTCACCCAAACCAAAATATTGGTACATGGGGTTCATTAACAACATATATACATTATATACAATCTGGTCAGAGGTACATATACAAAACAAAAAACATGACATATGATTGAAAAAGAAAATAAATAAATAAGAGAGGGGAAAATATATCAAGGAGGACAGGCAGCATCATAAATTTTTAAAATAAACATACATAGTTTTTTCAGCATTTTTTCATTTTTGGTTGACATTAATTCCATAAATTTAATAACATTAGGTCTGTGGGAATAATAATTTCCCAGGTAATTTTTTCTTACATTAGCTAAAGTTTTACATTCTAAGATATAATGAAATTCATCAGCAGTTTGATTATTATTACAAAGTGTACAGATTCTATCACACGGTGGTATACCATACCATCTTCCAGTCTCTACTGGCAGATGATGATTTGCAGTTCGAAATTTTATAAATATTTTTCTAAATTTAATAGATAACTTATCAATATAATGTTCAGATCCAAAGTTTTGTTTAAAGATTCTGTAAATCTGTCCTTTTGAAGAATTATTTACGTCACTAGACCACTTTTGAATAAATTGATCTTGTAATATTTGTTTTACAGTAGCAGTTATCCATTTATAATTCATATTGACACCCTGTTCGTACCATACATTTGATAAACCACACATATTACATATTTTCTGTATACAGTCTAACCATGGGTTTGTTAAGTTTCCATCACAGTACAGTTTAAACATATGTTTGTATAAAACATTTACAATTTTATTTGGCGGGCCTGAAAAAAGCTTTGCCCAATATGAAATCATTCTACAATATACATGTACCGTAATATACAGAGGAAAGCGACCTGTTTCACCATAGACCATATACGATGGGTGGAACTTTTCAAATTAAATACATACTTTATAAGCTTCAAGTGCAAACGCTCAATAATATCAAGATTTTCATAGCCCCATATTTCAGAGCCATATAGTAAGACTGGAACTACAACTCTATCAAAAAGGTCAAATTGACAGTCTACTGGTAATTGGAATTGTCTAATTTTTCTTATAATGCCATACATCGCTTTTTGTGCTTGTTCATATAAGTGTTTTTTTTTGTTTTACAAAAGGAACCTGTGCGTGAAAAAACAACGCCTAGATATTGAAACTCTCTAACATTTTCAATAACTAAGTTGTCGTAATAAAATTTTCTTTTTAACATAGGACCCTTTGAAAATACTAGAATCTTCGTTTTTTCACCATTCACTTTCAACTTCCATTGTAAACAATATGTCTGAAATTTATTGATTGCATGTTGTAATTCATCGGCTGACTCAGCCATAATAACAGTGTCATCCGCATAAAAGAGAATCAACAATTTAAAATACATTAGTAATTCGTTCTCAATGGTTCTTGAAATACTTTGTAAGCCTGCAATATTCTTGCTCAGTAAAAAATCTTCAAGATCATTAATATACATTGAAAATAAAAAAGGTGAAAGATTTTCTCCCTGCCTTACTCCTACATTACAACTAAAAATTTCTGTGGACATCCCATTTATTTTCACCATAGATTTTACACCTTTGTACATATTTTGAATGTATTGAAAACATTTACCATTTATACCATTAATATGTAACTTGGTCCAAAGCCCGTTTCGCCATACAGTATCAAATGCCTGTTTAAAGTCAACAAAGGCGCAAAATAGTTTCTTTTTTCTTTGCATCAAGATATTTGATAAAAATTGTAAGGTAAGGATATGATCAAGTGTAGAATAATTTTTCCTAAAACCAGCTTGGTTTTCTTTAAGTAGATTAATTTCATTTGCATAGGCTTCCAATCTAGTATTTAAAATACAAGTACATACTTTTCCTAAGCAACTAAGCAATGTTATGGGGCGGTAATTATCAGGTTTAGTCGGGTCTCCTTTGTTTTTATATATAGGTTTAATTAAACCAATCAACCATTCTTCGGGAACAAAACCACTTTCGTATATGATGTTAAAATTTTTTAAATAGACTGGCATAACTGTAGTTAACGTTGATGAAATATGTTCATTCAGGATATTGTCAACTCCAGGGGATTTACCTTTTTTTTTTTATTTTTGTTACAGCTTCTAGTATTTCATTTTCACGAATAACAGAATTCAAAAACTCGTCGGATATGGCATGGGTTGCATTTGTGACGGATGGTGCATTATTACTAAATTTATAGTTCTCTTCATTATCGCTTTCATTGATATTTTTCAAGAAATCATACATATCATTTATATCAACAGAACACTTTTTTTCTTTATCACAGGTATTTAAAATTTTCCAATAGTCTTTCAAATTTGATGAACGTAAATTTTTAAGTTTTTGTGATAGATCATTTGTGTATTTTTGTATGCATTTGTCCATTGTTTTTTTTTTATATTCTTTACTCATTAAGACAAGATTAGTTTTATTCTCTGTTGAATTATATCTATTTTGTATTCTTTTTGCTAGATGAAATTTTTTCCTAGCCGTTCTGCAGTCTTTGTTAAACCATGGTTTATTACGCTTGATATTGTCTGATGTTATATTTTTATGCAATCCAAATGTTTCCTGTGCCGCATTGGTAAAAACAGTACTTATATCTTTTGCAATTTTAGAAATGTCTGATTCGTTGACTGTGTCAATGTGGAGGGATAATTCATTCAGAGAATTTTCAATAGCTGTTACGCTTGACAGAGCAATATTACTACAAAATTGATCGGCTTTATCTGGACACCACAACTTCACACTCGACTGATTTACACTTACGCATGTATTTTCTGATCGAGTCTTGAGACTAGAGATTGTAAAAGATATTGGCCTATGAACATCCGATAAAAGATTGCAAAAATCATGTATATCAAAATTTTGTATAGCTTCTATAACATTTATACTGGCCAGAACATAATCAACTGTACTACAATTTTTACATGTAACTGCACCGATGTTTTTATCATTACCTAAACGGCCATTAACTTTAAAAATATCATTGTTCTTGCAAAAGTCTACTAATTTATAACCAAAATTATTAACACTCGTGTCTTGAACTATTCTCTGTAAGGGTATTGAAAGTTTTTCAAAAATGGTAGACCGTGCTTCAGTTTCACTGTGGGGGAAATCATCGCATACATTTATATTTGTCAAAAAATTATCAGGAGTAAAATAATCAGATAAATGACCAGTTCTTGTATTAAAGTCACCCATTAAACACACATACTTATTATCATTCACTAAACTGATTAACTCTTGTTCGACTTCTAAAAAACAGTCAGGGGAGGTGTATTTACTACCTTCGGGCGGTATGTAAACAATACCACACAGTACATCTTCATTAGTACTAAATAACACTTTGTCTACTTTAAACCATAAAACATATTTACAGTCAGTGTTTATGACTTTGACATGCTTAACAATATTATCCTTAACTGCTAAAATAATACCCCCAGATCGAATATTCGTAAGTTTCTTTCTGTTTTTCATAAAAGTTACATAGCCAGGTATTTGAATTTTATCAGAATCGTCGGTTTTTGTTTCAGTAAGTCCTATTACATCATATTTTTTGCTGAACTCTGTAAATTCATTACAGAGTAACTTATTTTTAACACCACAGACATTTAAAGAACGTATTTTCAAATTATTTACATTACTCTTATTTACATTGCTGTTATTCAGAGTTGACTGTTTCAAATTATTTACATTATTCTTATTTACATTACTGTTATTCGGAGTTGACTGTTCTCCTGTATGTCCCTACCTAGGACGATCGGGAGTCGACCCTTGGCGTTGTCTTTTTAAAGGTTGACGCTCGTTATTTTCCCGTGGAGTATCCTGGCTCGCTGGATTTTGCTGAGCTGTAGATGTCAAGGGAGTGGATCCAGCGGGTGGCGTGTACACTTCTCCGTCAATATAAAGGATATCACGGACAAGTTTTGTTCTCTTTTTATCTTTCCTTGCTTGACGCATCACTGGGTAAAGCTTCTTCCTTCTCTCTTCTATTTCCTGTGGGAACTGTTCATTTACCCATACTTTTGTTCCGCTAAATCTCCTTGCGGCATTGGTCCGAATGAATTCCCGGTCCTTGAAGAAACTGAACTTTGCCACTATATTTCGTGGGTATTCGTTGAACTCACTCCACTTGCCAACCATATGGACTCGTTCGAATGATATATCATAACCTAATCTGAATCTCCTTTGTATGAAATCCTGTAGCAGCCTCTCTGTGTCTTCCCATGCATGCTCTGGAATACCCGAGAACACAAGATTATCTCTCACAGATCTTGCCTGGAGATCAGTCACTGAACTTTGCAATTTCTCATTAGCCTCTCTGATTGTTTCCAGTTCATCATTCACTTTATTATCTGTAAGTTTCTGCATATGTATACACTGGTCTAGGCTCTTTCTGTTGTTATTTATCAACTTAAAGGTCTGCTATTGAAAGGAAAAGCGTATGTCATCCCAAACCGCCATTAACGCTGCTAATTTGGAGTTGCACAAATACCGGTAGGGTATTAGTTGTTTAAAAAAACCCGCACATGTGACACTTGCTGGGATCAAATGCGGAGAAGAAAAAGAAGCTTTTGAAAAACAGGATTAGTGATAACACAAAATGTTGATTTTCTAATAAACCTCTTGGTCAAGTTATTTTATATTTTTAAAGAATTAAGGTGGTTAGATTAGTGAATATGAAATACAGAGGAGAAATTGTATGTAAAATCTAAAAACGGCCGAAGGTGGGGAGTGGGGGTTAATATCAACAAACTGGAAATACTTAGCATTGGAAAAATACCTCCAATGCATCTCATAAATACCACAAAACCTTAACAAAAAGAGTTGAAATTTCCGATTTTGGATTTTTTTCCGATGGCAAACAGTGGTCACGTGACAATAATTTTTAGAATATTTTCTTTCCATGGCTACGCACATTGTATACAGCGACAAATTTTGTGCAACTTATTCAAATTTCTTTTCAGAAATATTTTGGCACGATGCAAGGAATAATCTTTTAAAGTGTAAAAGAAATTTTTTTTAAAGCTATTACTGAGAAAATTAGAATTTAAGTATTTGCATAGTTTGTCTGTTTCCATTGCAAATGTGACCGTTTTGAAAATTCAAGTACTAAGCACACTTATACTGTTTGTGATCATCAATTCTGCGAAAATTTATAAAGATTATCCACGTCATCTCTGTGAACGTTTACGGACACAATTATAAGTTTTTTTTACTAAAGTAGGGTCATACGTATGTTTAGGTGCAATCTTAGGACCTGCCTAAGTACTACATAAGTATGTCTAAAACCGTAAAATAAAAAGAACTAAGCCAGGTCTTAACTAAGTCAACATTATGTTCACAATACTTCTTATGAATCACGCTAGTTTGTCAATTTATTTACTTGTATTGGTAAAAAGTATTCAGTTATGTTTTTAATTATATATAAAATCGAGTTCCTTTCTACAACTTTAGTTAGGTTACAGTAAGTTTCGTTTTAAAATTATAATTCTGTTAAAAATAATTCCTTGTATTTGGAAATAATTTATTTCACAAAGTGGCAAAGGTTCAATGTAAATGCATGACTTTTGTTTATCACTCGAGACTGCTATGTTTTCAGCTTATCCTTTATGGTAATTCTTTTGTTTTGACAAATGTTCACTCGCTTTGTCATCCTTGCAGACGTGGCACGATAACGGAACGTCTATCTACTTGAAATTGAAATTTTAATAAAAAAAAGTTCAAAACATGATTGGAGGGACATTTTCAATTCTTTTTTCCCCAATGTACATCAGCCAATATCAGCAAGCAAATACTGTAGACGTTTTTTGATATACATGTACTTATTTAAATTTAATCAAGGATCGAAAAGAATTGTTTTCAGAAGATAATTATCCGTATGTCTCCAGCTTATCAACAGTCCCCCCCCCCTCTCTCTCTCTGGAAGTACATAGTGAGCCCTTGACTGAATCTGCACTTGTTGTTGAATGTCGTTGAATCTTATTCACAGACATTCTTTATTAATCTTCTAGTCATCATCCTCTAACTCACCGACAATTTTTCTGTTTCAAAGAGTCTGTTTCACATCAAATGTTCACTGTGAAGATAAAATTCATGATTAATGTGTACAATTTACTTATAATGATGAGTGTTTATAACCTAGGTCCACTAGTATTTCAAAAGTATCCCCAAAATATAATTTTGCATCTACCTGTATGCCATATTGAGAGTGATATTGGAGTCGGTAATTAATGCCACCCCCCCCCCCCCCACCCCCTTCTTGAAAAACTAAAATTCATATACCAGTATTAAATACTGGTATTACTAAATTGATATACTAATATACTAAATTGATTGACACAAATCCTTGCACTTTCACAAACTAAGCTTAGTCCATAATACTTAAGAAAAAGAGAAATTTTGTTGTGTATATTATAAAAAAAGATAAAAACTATAATCCAAAAAGTTCAGAGTCGAAATACGAGAAAGCAAAACCAACTCAGCAGCATTGTCAGTCCGTGCTGAGGATGTGTGCAGACTAAACAAACTGAACGCACCAGGTACAGTCCCTGAAACGTTCTACTTTCCCACTTGAACGGTGAGCGAACGCTGAACGAACGGTGAACGAACGTTGAACGAACGCAGAGCGAACATTGAGTGAACGATGTGTGAACGCTGAACGCAACTTGGTGAACGATGTGTGAACGGTGAACGGTGAGCGAACGCAGAACGCGAACGGAGCGCAAACGCGAACGCAAAGTGAACGGTGAACGAACGGTGAACGCAAGATGAACGATATATTCGGAATGCCTCTGATATTTTCCCTGCATTGAAACTATTTTATTGTGTTAAAATGTTAGGTGCCAAAAAATAAATAAATAAATAAATAATAAATAAGTAAACCAATAAATGAATGAATAAATAAGTCAAAAAATAAATTCTCCAAAATTGTCCTAAGAAAGACGATGCATGCACATTAAGTTTTTAATCACATGATTCTTATCGCATTAAAACATTGCAATTGTTGCCGAACGCTGAAGTATAAACAAATCAGAGAAAACTTCTGACTTACAGAATGAATTAAAGCGGTTGTAACATCCATTCATATATCTCCGTGTCAGGGCGATTTCGTGTAAAGTAATGAAAAAAAAAATTACAAAGGTCAGTGGATGTTTTGCATTTATACGCTCGTATTTTAAATTTTTAATACAATAATATATTATGGGTCATTTCTATTTTTCATGATGATTTATTGAGCAGACTTCTACATGTATATGTAGATGGCCGTGGTTATACTCGGACAAGATAATACAAAGATACATATTCATATTATTTGTTATAATTTTCCAAACTTGATATTTATGTAATATGCTGTTATAGTTTTTATTAAACAGACAAATGAGAGAGAGAGAGAGAGAGAGAGAGAGAGAGAGAGAGAGAGAGAGAGAGAGATTCCGTTATAGCCCCCCCCCTCCTTTCAGGCTTCACTAAATGTTTGTACCCATATTAAACAAAAACTCTGAAATTTTTTTCTAAATATATCAGACAGTGAAAGTAACTTTTTTTTTTATCAACAAATCATATACATTTGTTTGACAGTCATACTCGTTTTTATTTTCCTGCTTCAAGTTCACACGAAGTCCACGTGCTTGTCCTGTCAATCAAAATCATTCGACACTGTGCAGGTGTGAAAGTTTCGTCACATCGAAGACGAAGTGCGAGTATTTCCAACAAGTTATAACATTTATTTTTATCATTTCTAGATTTGATCCCAACATTTGAATAATAAATGAATAAAATACATTGGGCATTAAAACTTGAATTTGAAACATACTCTCTGCCAATTTCAAATACCACCGCCGACACGTGTACATTTTAAACTACTATTGTTTTGTGACTTTTTTTAGATGCATGCTTGTTTTGAGACTGAAATTTTTGTTCTAAAAAAGACCTTAACTTATTTTTAAAAAAAATGTTGATTAAAATATTCTGGAAATACAGTACTGACTAAGTAACCAAGCTAGGGGAAAAAGGGGGGGGGGATTAATCATATCGAATGGCAAACATATAAAGTTACGATGAAGAAAGATTTTTTTTTTCTCTATAACTATAGACTTTACATATTATATTAGAGAAAATTCTATAGTGCAGTACATTTTAAATAAATATTTCCTTTAACCACACTATCAATTTAATTCGCTCCAAAGATAATAAATTAATAGGATATCCGCAGTACTATGTATAACTCTCAGAACTAGTTCGATCATATTTTCTGTAGTAATTGAAAAAAAAAAACCGTGTTAGAAATAAATATTTTCGTAATTTTGCTGCGTAATTATTTGACTTACATACATATGTAATTATGTCACCATTAACGATTTGTCGTCTTTAACAAAATAACAAAATGTTGCAGTGCTTGAAGTATTTGCACATTGCCCTTAGTTATATTTAATATTTCAGCATCGTTCTACATAGGCACAGAATGTGCTTATAACAACATTTATTTTCCAGAGTAATTTAATAAATAACCTAACAGCTAAGTTAGAATAATAAAAATATATATCGTAGATATTTTTCAACATGAAACAATGATTCTTCAAACACGATATGTTAGTTATTAAATTAAAAAAAACCTGTAACTCATTCCCTACAAAAAGGTAAGTCCTTTCACTTCGGAGTTCCGAATGACAATGAAAACTGAACGATAGGTGAACGCTGAACGCAAGGTGAACGCAAAGTGAACGGAACGAAAAGCGAACGCTGAACGCTTTGTGAACGGTGAACGCGAGCGCACGGTGAACGGTGAACGCAAAACTGTGAACGGAGAGCGAACGGTGAACGCACGGTGAACGAACGGTGAACGCACGCTGAACGAACGGTGAACGAACGGTGAGCGAACGGAAAAATGGGAAAGTAGAACGTTTCAGGGACTGTAAAACGTAAACACTAACAATAAGTGCCCTGTTTACAAACACAGGTGTTTGACGTGATGTTATAAAGAATGTAGTTGTTATTGAATTCCTAGAATGTTCATGTAAGTTAAGTTCATTAAACTGAAGTTATGTTTTAAATGAAATAGATATTAAAAATTGTATACAATGCAACTGTGTCCAGGCCCCTTTAAAGGGGCCTGAACACAAAGAGACTGACAACATACATGTATATATATATATATATATATTTATATATATATATAGATAGATATATATATATATATATATATATATATATATATATATATATATATATATATATGTCATGATGTTATTTAGGAAATTTTAGAAAATATGAGCTTCAAATCTGTGTCCCAGCCCCTTTAAATCACAGCATTACACTACATGTAATGAGACATTTTATGGTATTTATATCAGTAAATTGTTATTTACTTTTTTTCGGATCACTGCAGTAATTTTTTAGTTATATGTTAAACAAGTCGGTTGTGCCGACATTTATTTCTTCATACATGTACTTAAATGAACTTCATTGTACAGATCGATGAGAACCTCTCTCTACCACTTACATAGGATTTTCGCACTACTTTCGACCTTACTATTTAAAACCTATGAAACTTGCTTAAAAGGGACGCTGAGGCTGTCTTTTAGCTTTTTGCGCTGCGCGTAGCGTTTAAACATGAAAAATAAATAAATAAATAAATAAAATCAAAATTTCGGTGCTGATTCTTTGACATTTTTCATTTTTCTCCTTCAGATTACTAAAAATTTTTTTTTTTTTTTTTTTTTTTTTTTTTTTTTTAGAAAATACTAAAATTTAGGTCTGGTATTGTTAACTGAAAGAAAAATACACCAAAACAGAGAAAATACAAAGCTTAATGAGAGTAAGACAAAAATTAAAAAAAAATATTTGCAAAAATGGGATGCATGTAAATCTAAGATAGATAGATTGATTGCTTGAATATTGTTAAATCCTTTTCATGATAATTATTTATATTAAATTTGACCAAAGTTTGAAACGAAAGGCTTTGTTGAGATTAAGTCTCTGACTGGATTTGTTGTAAGTATCAACTTAAGGTACAGGCCTGTAGCAACAGTTTCAAAAAAGGGGGAGGGGCTTATGAATATAGCATGTAGATATATTTACATGTATTTATCTTACATCTTGATTTAATTTTAAGGAGAAAAGATCTTGCTTATAGGGACAGATTTCCTGCTCATCATAACTACATATTTAGTTTCTTTGCTTTATAATCAGGAGAAGAAAAGAATATTTTCAGAAATTATGCCTTTTCACTAAATAATCAATAGAACACCGCCTCCTTTCACCAGAACTTGGAATTTAAGTGGCAACCTTGCTTTTGAAAACCATGCATTTAGTTTGTTTAGATAAAACTCAGAAGAGAAGAAAAGAATATTTTCAAAGTATTAATGCATTTTCACTATAAATTCAATAGAGCTTCGTCTTCGACGAGTAATTTGTTGGAGACAGGAATTAATATGTCAAAAATTTTGTAAAATTCCTGATTATTTAATAAAACAATTACTGACTTTTGAATTTAGTCTACTCACGATTAGACTTGGTCAGGTATTGGTTAACCTCGGTCTTCTGCCTCGGTCAACCAATATCTTACCAGGTCCGTATAGTCATGAGTAGACCTCATCAAAAGTCAATGATTGTATAACATAATCAATATTGCCTCCAACCCCAGTCAATATTTATATAATAGTATTTCAGTTCTGCAGATCGGTGATGTCAGTACTTCAATTCTGAAGTGCTATATTCATTGTGTAACACCTTTCTTAATTTCCACTGCGACATCGATACATACCTTCTTCTTTGATTAAACGTATACATGTACATGTACCTGTAGACTTTGGGTATAAGGTGAAAATTCTTGACTTTTTATTTGTGTTCGATAATGCTACTTATTTCATAACATTTTTATTTTATCCGTTGTACATTTAGATTTGACTTTGAAAGTTACTTAAAAGACACTTCTTTTCCTTTTAATTTTTTAATGTCAAATTACAAAAATTATCACAACATTGAACAAGAGGCCCAGAGGCCTTTACGGACACATGAGTATAATACAAATATTTAAAGGATCCATAGAAGTATAAAATAAACTGATAAATGAAGCTTTATTACCCTAAAGCAATAGAAATAGGATGGCCAGGATCAACAAAATATTTGTCTATTACTCATTTACAGCTCATAAAGTAAGTTCCTCTTGCCCACATTCATCACTATCACAATACAGATTATTAACAAAACAATAGTTTTTCGGTACTTTTTTAAACCCCACATTATAACCTATCACATCATACTATGCATTTAGCTGAAGATTTAAAAAAAAAAATCAAAGATTTGACACATTTTCACTTCATTCCCCATCCCCCAGAGAAACACCATAATCCCTGACCGTGCGACCACAAGTTTTAAAAAAAATGAGAGAATCACCCTTGCTCATCATAAATATGCATTTTGTTTATCTGCTATCTGCTTAATACCCAGGAGCAGACAAGATTATTTAATAGAATTAATGCATTTTTGCATTTATTTTTACATTAATGCATTTTTACTACATTAGATGAAATCCCGCGCTTAGCGCGGAATTGAATTTATACCACTATCGACAGAAAAATCCCAATAAAATATATTGTAGTTTCTATTGACAGCTTACAGGCTTATAGCAGGAAGAAATACTTTGTTCAAAACCCCTCATTTAGTTTTGGAGCAGAAGTAGATGTATATCTTCACCCCCCCCCCCCCCCCGTTTGTAAAAACTTGAAAAATAACAATTTCACTAATTGACGTTTATTGTGAAACCTGTTATACTTTGTTATGGATATTGTACTTCAGCTGCTCTTGTTTCATTCCCATCAAGGATAAAAGCAGCGAATATGCACATCTTAATGATAAATTGAATGTTTTTTTTATTATTGTTAGTAAACATTACCTTTTAACGCCTTAAGAATAGGTCATGTATTTGGTACAAAAGACTGTATTAAAAAAAAAAAAAAAAAAACCCTGAAATGTATTGATTAAAGCACAAAATTTTTAACAGCTTGAATTGTATTTGAATATTACCTTATTTCTTTAATTTTCTATTTTCATGTATAAGCAAGTTTATTACGAAGTACAAATTGTACTTCGGGCTCGTTGCCACGATGCTCTCAGTGAGGAATATACAAATTTTACCGATAAATTTATTTTGAAAACCTATTAATAGTCTTTTGATATATAAATATATTCACAACTTATAACGTTATCAATGATTTACCATTATTTCAATTACCATTGACACAAAAGCTTTTTTTTTTTGCTCATGCAGCTATAATCGCCTCGTTTTTCTTTTTAACATTGGACTCGATGCTATATGATGTTCTAGAAGTTTCTGTGAATATTAAGATCGGTGAATGACGAAAATAATAAGCACTTTTCCTTTTTTAATCGGTTATTACAACTTATTTCTTTTATATTATTTAAATCAAGTTTTGATTAAATAATTCAGTGATGACGTTTTATGAAATAAATAAACAATTGCTTGTCGTCAGTTTCATTAAATATTGCCAGTTACTTAGATCCGCCAACCGGAACCCAAACGGTACTCACGTTTTTGCAAGATTTTCCAAGAAAATATGCATCTTCACTTTATAACCAATAAAGCCCCCGTGCAACCTTTCACCATGACCCCTGACCCTGGGGCCATGAATTTCACAATTTCGGAAGAATCAACCTTGCTGTCATAACCATGCTTTTAGTTTGTTTACATAATAACCAGGAGCAGAAAAGGACATTTTAAAAGAATTAACGCATTGTCACTATATAATTAATATGGCCCCCAACCCATTACATCAGGACCCCTGACCCTGGGGCCATGAAATTCAAAATTTTGGAAGAGGCAGCCTTGCTTATCATGACCATATACTTAGTTTGTTTACATAATAACCAGGAACAGAAAAGAAGATTTTTAAGTAATTAATGTATTGTAACTATAATCAATAGAGGCCCCACCCTAACATCAGAACCCCTGACCAAGAGGCCATGAACTTCACACTTTTTGAAGAGGCACCCTTACTCATCATAACTATATACTTAGTGTGTTTGTTTAATATATAGAAGCAAAGAAGATTTTCACAAAAATATTGCACTTTCACTATATAATCAATACCATCCCCTCCCCCTCTCGCATAAAACCCCTTCACCCTGGGGTCACAAATTCTTACAATTTTAGAAGAGGCACCCTTGCTCATCATAACTATTAGCAGAGGAGAAGATTTTCAAAGAAATGCATTTTCACTATATTATCTACATAGCCCCGCCCTTGCACCAGAAGCCCTGACCCTGGGGACATGAACTTCAGAATTTTGATAGAGGACTCGGTGCTTATTACAATCATGTTAACAATTTGTCTGCTTGATTTCCAGGAGTAAAGAAGAAGAATTTAAAAATTGCATTTATTTTAGTGGTTTTAGAAACACCCCTCAGCCCCAGGGAGGCAATGGACATGGGATTCACAATTTTTGTTCTCCTTTACTCAAAGATGCTATAAGCCAAAAATGGTTGAAATTGGTTCAACAGTTCCAGAGTAGAAGCTGGAAATGTTCAATTGTTAACGCACTACGCACGACGACGGAGAAAATCGGATAGCAGTAAGTCACCTGAGTGACTCAGGTGATCTAAAAATGAAAAGAGCCAACCATCTTACACAACATACTGCTACCTTAAAGTAATAAGAAAAAAAATTGAATAAATAAACGAAGTAAAAAACGGAGAAACATTTGCTTAAACCATTGTCATGAACACCCCTTTTTAATTCGTTGTTGAATGTTTGAAGTCTTAGTAAATTCTCTTTTTAGCAGTTAGCATAAATTGTGTCATTTTGTAGGTAATCAGCAACAGCGTCGTAACAAAACTGATAATCCTCCTAAAAATACAAAGAAGAATCATTAACAACAAACTTTATAAAGAATATATCAATAAATCTTTGTTGTGAAGATTTACCAAGTTGTTTATAAACTCGGGACGACGAATCTGTAGCAGCCGTGTTATGGTAAATATGTCCACTTCTCTATCCATGGTCATTTGTTCAAGTGCATTGTATACAACACAGAATTGTCCACAGCGCTTTGCACCGTCACTGAAATTTTAATTGATCAATAAATACAATCCAAGAATATTTTTTGATATTTTTTCAGACTTCTGAATAAAAAGTATTGTAAATAAAGTAAATAAATGAAGATGAAATTTATTTATGTACTTTTTTTCTTATTTCTAAAAGGATTCTAATGAATTATCAAATATACCTTGAAAGTAGGAGAATTCTTCCACCCGGATGAGTGTTCTCTTCCATCTTTGCCTCTTTAATTAAATCAATTAAGATTCTTCTACCAGCTGTGTCGTTTTCACCTCTCCATGTTATGCTTTCTAGTATTGTAACTCGAACATCACTGCTCGACTATAGATTGTAGAAGACAAAGAAAAAAAGTTTGAAAAGTTATGATAATCGTCTTTAATTAGTTCAATGAAACAATTCATTTATTATCTATGCTGATTAAGACCTTCGATTGCAGTGCAATATTGGTTTTGACGATGTTTGGCATTTTGGTACAATCTGAGAATTTGGTGGTGAATTCTCCCACGGTTTTATTCTCGTTCTTCCTTGGGATCCAAAAAGAAGACTGTAAATTTAAAAAAAGAAAAACAATTCTTAAGTGAAAGGGGGACTTGGAATAGATATCTCACTTTAGAAAGAAATGCGTTAGTCAAATCCTCGTGCATTTTCAATTAAATCTATTCCATAATCAAAACCTTTTTAAACCACAATGCTTTTAGATGTTTCAAATTGATTTCAAAATCCTTTATAACTACACTGAACACTATTTTTTTTTCAAAAGGTATTCTTTGAGTTATTATGTTTCATGAATAAATTCATTTACCGATGGAAACTCTCTCAATGGAAACAACGAAACGATGATTGGAGTATAAAATGCTCTCACAAGACTCAAGAAATCTTCTATATAATCCGGAAGTGGGAATTGGGCGCTAATAAGACAATCACTTCTTGTGAAAGACTGAAATTAAATATTCATTGTAATTACCGGGCTCAAGATATTAAGACCCAAATGGCCAATCTTAACGTGCTTTCTTAAAAAAAGGTTTATTTATTTTATAATATTAACCTGTAATAAAACTGCATTGTAGTATCTCCTGGCCCCTTTTGAGTCGAACGCTTGACACATGTACTCATCAACTACAATAGATTATAATTAGTATTTATGGGAATGACCAATTTATACTTTAAATTTGTAAATGTAAAAAAATCTTAAATAAAATGTAAATCAATTTTAAATTATAAAGTACCATGAATTTAAGATTGCTCAAAATAAATAAATAGATAGGTAAATAAATTAATAAATAGATAGATAGATAAATAAATAAAGAAAATGATATATGTAGGTATATGAATTCTATCAGAGTTTTCAATTTGTTACCAGGCAATACGTTTGGAGTTAAGTTTGCCTCCTTATTCTTTATTGCAAACTCGTAATCTTTGTCAGAGTATTCTTTCCTCAAAGACAATAGCTCCTATAAAATAAACAGAATGAAGTTCTATAATTACTGCAGCTCACATAAACTTTATTCAAGAAAAGTCTATTATCGATGTTTTCATCACTCAATAAATAAAATTCCCGTAGGCAACAACGGTCATGAATGCAGAAGAAGAAATTCCAAATGTTTTTTTCCGTTTTTATGTATGTATGTATTATGTAAAATTTAATAAGCGATTTAAGTCTAACCCTGAACCAGGGTGCATAATTTGAAAAAAAAGAAAGAAAGAATTAATAGCGATTCTCTGTAACCACTTAAACTTCTTTGCCAAGCATGGTCACCGATTTTGATGAAACTTGGCCCATTATTACAAATTGACACCAGAAACATATATCAAATAAAATTTCGTTGCTATGTGTCTTGGTTGCCATGGTAACAGCCAGAAAAGTTGAAAAAAAAATGAGATTTTCAGCTACTTTGAATCTTTATTAAGCCTTAATAAAGAGTAAGGAAAACAAACAAACTATTCTCACAAAAACTTGACACCTTGTCGCCACTTATGCTATAAAGAAACTATTAAGAATTTATCTCTAAGTAAGTGGTAACCATGGATACATTTAGAATACATTTTAGATGCTGAAAAATGCTAAAAAAACGCTCAATATTCACTAATGATAGATGTTACATGATCACACTCTATCAACAACCAAAGAAAAGCAATAAGAATAATTGACCTTAAGTAATTAGGTATTGGCAATATTATTCTAAAAATAACTTTTATGGTTGCCATAGTAACACAGTGTATCCATGCAAAATCTGTTGCTAAGATTGGGTTAATGCTACAATCTTGAGGAAAAACAATAAAATTCATGACTGGCACATATACATCCTTAGGACCTTGCAACACCGACAACATAAGAAAAATTGGGATTAATTGTTACTTTGCAGTGTAACCATGGAAACAACGTATCAGTTGTTTAAAGTGATATTTTTTTGCTGCTTTAGAAATTTACTTACCTTTTAATCAAGAAACATATTATTTGACTCACCTTGAATAGTATTTATCAGGTAGAACTAAAGTTGAATATCATATATTGATAAAGTTTGTTGAAATATACAACACTGTTGCTATGGTTACCAAGAAGGGAAAATGCTCGATTTTGTTAATTCTATATCAATATTAAATCCTATGTGCCAGCTTTTTGCATCTAGTTAGAGATTGGGTGGTAGTCAAAATTGAAAGTTAGGTTAGTTGTTCATTTATATCAATCATAAACGTTTTGGGAATCTACATACAATGGTAAGTATCCAAGGAAACAGAATATTTTTCAGATTTTTATGCATATTTTTTCGGCTAATTTCCATAGCAACGCTCTATTTAAAGAATTGAATTTGAATTTTTTGAAATGTAAAAATTAGGGTCACACCAATGCCTTTAAAAATTGATCATCAGTTATATAGAAATATCCTTTTTAAAAAGATAGGATAAGATTAAAACACTAAGTTTAAAATCCCATTGTGGTATTAAAACCATGGCAACCATTGCCAACCTATAAGAAATATCATATTTCGTCCTTGGTATATGTTACAAGGATTTCTTGTCTATTATATGCTTGCATTTCAACCTATAATTGTTTTTATTCTTAAGTGAATGACTTTATAAAATTAAATGAACAAAATTATTACTTTTGAGTACTTTGTTTCCATAGTAACGTATGTAATAGTTGATTTACCAAACATGTTTATCATGCATTTAAGACATCAGGCCTTTAACTTTCAGAAACAGTCATTGCCACTTGTTTGCTTTGCTGCAAACATTATCTGTGGGACTCTGAACATGTTGAAAAATGCCATTTTTCAAACTTTAGGACATGTTGCTATGGTAACCATGACACGTAGCAACCAATTTTTGCCTGATTGAGTTTACTTTATCAAAGACTTTTATCATAGAGAGTTTGGATAAATTCTGAGAATATGCGTGCCACAGCTCCTATATAAAAGTTAAAGTCATTACAGAGAATGGCTCTTAAAAAGAAAACTAAATTCAAACAATTTGGGAATGTTGAATCTTGATATAATTCTGTTTGGCCTTCCTCCTCTTGAAAATAATACCTTTTTATTTTAATTTCCCATATATTCTTATCAAAAACTTTGAATCCGTATTTTAGCGACATGCATAACTGACCCTCGATTTGAACAAATATAAATTTGTACTACATTAGGAAGTTTGCAAACGAAATGAATAAACATGGCTTAGCTGTTCTTGAAATGAGGATTTTGAAAGATTTGTTGCCTATAAATTTCCATGTAAACTATTCTTGGTGTAATAAATATACACAGCAAATTTAATATATATATATATATATATATATATATATATATATATATATATATATATATATATATATATATATATATATATATATATATATATATATACATGTATATATATATATATATATACTGTTCACTGTAGCTCAGTGGGTAGAGCGCACGCTCCATGAACGGGAGGTCGTGAGTCCGAATCTCGGCCGCGACTGACCCAAGTCGATAAAAATGGGTGGCAACTGTTCCTTCGCCATGCGCTCGGCACTTTGAAGTGAAAGTTGCGGATCCTTCGGATGAGCACGATAAAGATCCCTCACTGCTCAATGGCCCTGAGTGCCGGCTAAAGGTCAAAATTTGAAGGTATATGGTGACGTCTCTATGTATACACACTGTGTGTGTGTGTGTGTGTGTGTGTGTGTGTGTGTGTGTTAAAAAAAATATGTCATTTTATGCTAAACGAAGTAACGATGATAACCTCAAAATGTCTATTGCAACTTCATATTTCATTTGTTTTTATTATCAACCTAAAAAAGTACTTTCAACCTGCACCAATACCGGAATTTCATCTCATAAGTAGGCAAGGGACTATTCGAACATATATAGAACCATCTGAAGTTTTACATAGTATGTTGATTTTTTGGTCGTGCGCCATAAGGCCATTTTCCGCACACATTCAAGTATATTACAATCCTTATTCTTATCTATACATTATTAAAAATTGAATCATACGCAAATATGATAGATAAACCCTTAATGAAAATTTCATTCCACTGCACCCAAAATTTTTAGGTCACTTGAGTCACTCACGTGACCTATTGCTATCCGTTTTTGTCCCTCATCGTGCGTCGGGTCAGCCCTTGCATTTACATTAAAATTTTGATCCGCTATTGTAACCGCAACATATCACCGGTAGCCATATGATTCGAACTATTTAAAATTTGCAGTATGTTAGGAAGGCTTCAGATAAGTTACATCCGTTATTGAGAAGATGTTGAAATGAACCAACCAAATTCTTGTCCTAACATTTTCTGTTGTTAAAGAGCAGGGTTCTTCAGTTAATAATTTTTAAATCATTATTACCAAAGGATCCTCTGTGCAAAGTTTGATTGGAATTGGACCAGTGTGGTTTAAGAAAAAAGTCGAAAAGACGCAGACGGACGGAGGATAGACAGACACAAGTCAACAGTCGACCATAAAAATACGAGCTTATATGTCTGGTGAGCTAAAACAACATATATAACTTCATATAAATTGTTTATACAGTGCTTTCTACATCACCTCAAATTCAGCAGATAAGGGAGATTTGTTGGCCACGTGTCCAAGATTGATGTAACAACTCTGCTCTTGGAATTCCTCTAAAAACCGGTCTGTGGAGATGGACCGTACTTTTCCTCTGAACGATTCAAATAGCGCCAAATAAACTGTTTTGTACTGATCCTGTATATTTTTGAAATGTACTCTTTATATTTTGGAACAATTGTTTCATTGTGTCTATTGAGAAAGACACTGACGGTACTATATATATAATCTTGCATGGAGAAAGCTTAAAAGTTATGAAAATTAACATAATTATTCATAGGCATTAAAACGCTGAATTCTTTTATTTTGATTCTGTAGGAAAATTAGCTCAGTTAGTTAAAAGAAAACATTGAGAACGAAGCATAGCTTAAACCTAGTATATATCTGTGACAAATTATTTCAAACTTTTAAAGCTAAAGTTAAATCAATGATGCTTTCAAAAATTGGCATTTTGTTTAATACCTCTCCCTGTATCATGTTCATTCGGTCTTTTCTCATAGTTTTTAAATACTTTGGAACATTAATTTCTCCTGTTTCCTCAGCTTGTCGATAGAGGGCGTCAAGCGCTATATAAGTTCCTGTTCTTCCGATTCCTGCACTTTTTTTTCAAATAAACAAACAAGTATCACTGTATACCAACTTCCATTCAAGTGTTTCTCCTTTTACATGATATTTTAAAATTTAACATATATGCAGTAATTACATCTTTGCACATTCCTTTTATTTAAAACAGATAAATGAACAAGATTTTGTAATTCTGTGTCGTTCAAAGCAGAGTGAAATTGGCAATTTCAAAATGCCAGTGAAATTTGCAGAGAAAATCCAAATGAGAGATAGAGAATTCTTTATTATTTAACTTTCATTAATTATCAGACTAAGAAAAAACGTTCTCTTTGACTTACCAAGGGGTTTTGACGTTATAGGGGATCTAAATTAAGTAGATCTTAAATAATCAGTACCAACCTGCAGTGTACTAATGTATATTCAGCGTAGTAAGTTGCAGACATCCTCATCACGTGACGATGAAATATCACGAGGCTTAGTGGATCAGGGACGCCGTGGTCTGGCCATTGCGTGTAGTGGAACATTATGACGTCACGCTCCGTATTTTCCTACCCCATAATAATTTTAATACAGTTGAAAAAATATTAATAAATTCATTCATATTTATGAAGTGAACCTCTGTTTTCAAGAATTTATGCATTCATTTAAAATACCTTGGTTACAAATCTAATATATACATCATAAAAGATACACAAAATATAAAAAGAATCTCGAAATTATATCAAATTATTAAAATTAAAGATTCAAAATCACTGTACAACTCACAAAAATGTTTTGGATCCGTAATTTTCTAACTGTGTGGTTTGCATAAACTTTCTCGTCTTGGTGCCTGACATACAGTTGACCGTTTTGAATTTTGTCGTTAGCATTTGGCCAATATAGGGCACATTTTGTCTAAATTAAAAATTTCAACTTAAAAAAATAGATAACGTATAAGCAGAAATTTTAGAGAGGATTCAATTTTGACATATTTTAGCGTGGGTATTAAAAAAATGAATATCGCATATAATTCCTACCACATTGGAGGTTATCAGTATATTTCTAATTTTCATTTTCATTCCTAAAATTACTTTTTGCTAAAATAAAATGCAGATTTCTCAGAACAAATCACCAAATTTGCGTCTCGCTAAAAATTCCACTTATACGGCAAATGCTTAGTGAAAATAAAGACGAGGCTTCACTTTTATGTGGGTTGAAACATTAGAAGTTGGGTAAAAGTTTTTGGTAACATTTAGTATATTATCTCTTAAAACTTTTGCAAAATGAAAACAAATATTGATACAAATTATTAAAAATATTATAGGTATCAATGATAAGAATGAACATGAACTCAATATTAAATCATACTAAACCTTCATGCCTTCTTTTAAATTAGTAAGACAAACGATGATAGAAATATTTTCTTGCCAAACCATTCTCCAGAAGTCAGTAATGGTCTTTGGTTTTGGCCCTTGATACAAGTAATACGAAATCATATATGACCAATAGTCAACAATTATTTGGTAAGATTAATGTGCTTAATCGTCCATCTTAAATAGAAATAAATTTTGCAAATTACCCTGTGTGGCAATATAGGCTCTTCGATCTTGTGCATTCTTCAAGCATACAGAAAATAGACTAAAATCATTTAGCATAAAGCATTTTTACACAAGCTTAGATTAAATTAAGAACAAAATATAAAAAGTGTCATTTATATCTGTCTTTAAGTTATTTTAACGAAATGGCCGAAAATGTGTTAAAAAATGTACTTTTCTCAATTTGCTAAATTGATCGATAACCAGAAGTTGACTTTCAACATTTCTATCATATTTAGAGTTACTTATGCCTTACATAAAATCAGAAGGAGTTTACTGTCTTTTATTGGTTCAGATAAAAGAAATATTGTTTTCAAAAGAGAAAATTAGGATATATGCAGTGAATGTAAATACATAGCAATTTTGAAAGCTTACCTCAATGTAGTTTGCATTTATATAGTCAGATTCCTTTGGATTTGATTTCTTCAGGATAACTCTAGAATGATCATCTAAAAATTGTACATTGTTATGTATTAGGTGTTTAAGATGAAAAATTCAAATTTACCAAATTTTAATATGAGCATAGTTTTAAACATAATAAAAGGCGAATTCTGGAACACGCTCTAAACAAGAAAGAAAAAAGAGGGATAGTGTACATACTTGCACATAGCAGTGATCCACTTATAATATTCATATTGTGTTTGATGTCGGATGAAATAATACTCCAAGTATTAAAAAGTATTCAAACCAAGAAAAGTTGTCTTAAGACGATGATTTTTATTACATAAAAAGCAAATATATACACTTACACGGGAAAGTTGTTGTATATCTATTTTTTGAGACGTTCTCGGGTTTTTTCCCTTCAGTACATGGATATAATTCTCCTTTTGGTATTTTCTTTATTCAGAACAAATGACATTCAAGCGAATAAAATTGGTAACATAAATTTATTTAAATTTGTTCTGAAATCTTGTTTTTTTAAAAAGTGGAATTTAAAAATACTTATATTCACACATGTATACGTTGCTTATGTTAGATTGATTAGATAATTTACAATTTCATTAAAAAAATGAATTATTTTTTTTTTGCATACCTCATATTCTTCTTTAAAAGAACCATTCTCCTTGTCAGACATGGACCTAATTCTTTCTTCTAACTCTAAAATTGTTACAGTTTTGTGCTTTGGACAAACTTTTTCTTGTACAGATTGTTTTTTAAAGCCCACGTTGTCAATGCCATTTATTTCAATTTCTTCATGACCTGTAAGATATAAAATGGTTAAAATTCAAAACATAATTTTCCTGAAAAAGACCCATTTGAGAAATTCAATATCTATTTTCTTCACATATAAAAAAATATCATATCATCATTTAACTACGTGTGTGATAATAGTGTTGGAGCACTCTGTAGAAAGGACGACAGCGCTTACAGCTACCTAAAAGTCAAGGCTCTAATCACGAAGGATCAGATCTGCAGTGTGTTACCATAAAAGACCTTTCAAAGTTTTCAACAATAAACTCCTGATTATATTCGAAACACAATTTGTCAAGAAAAGGTCCAAGTTGACTGTAAGCAAGGTCTAGTGACAACAATATTCAAGTAAAATTAGCGCACATCCTCTTCTACCCAAAGGATCGCCTTGTAGATGTCAATTTGCTGCAAGAGACTTCATGTGATGAAAATCTCAAGAAACACAAAATTCATTCAGACCACCAGCATGACTTCGATCAGGCAACGGACGTCTTGTGAAAGCCAGCCATTACTTACAGTGCAAGAACTTGTCCAAGCCTGAAAGTTGAACAAATTAAAAAAAAGATCTTAATGTTTCCAACCGAGTACTGAAGTTGTTCTACAATGAAGAACTATGACGTTGTTTTACTATGGCAACAGGGGTACTTTCTTAGCCAGAATAAAAAGTTTCTCGAGTGACCGTAGCCAAAGAATCCTGATAGAGAAAATCCATTCGAGTCATCCAGTATCAGCTGGAGTGCCCCAGAGCTCAGCTCTGGTCCACACTTTTCATTCTGTATATTAACAACATGCCAGAAAGAATAAAATCTGACTCTTTGCAAATGATTGTCTGCTCTACCGAAGAATCAACTTTGATTTAGACTCAAACTCACTAAAAAATGAGTTAACTAAATCAGAGAAAGGTCAGGTGTCCTTCAACCCTTCTAGAATGTGAAGTATTATAAAGGATCACTCGGAAACGCAATTATATCATTGCCATGTATACCCTGCACAGCCATCAGCTGGACAGTGTCAAATAGAGAAATACTTTGGCGTCACCTTATCAGACAACTATTCTTAGAGTGTATAATGAAAGCAAACGCCAACCTTAGATTTCTCTAGAGAAATCTAACAAGCTTACCGACCTAGAGCAAAGTCCAGTGTTACAAAACATTTGTCACACCAATTCTTGAATATAATTTGCCTGTCTGGGATCCTCACAGGTAGTACCATCGTCAAGCTAGAAGATGTCCACAGTAGCAGCGAGATTTGTTAAAGGAGACTGCAAGATTACAAGTATGATGCGTGACAAAGAATAGCCTCCTACAACAGGAGAAAGTTGAGCACAAGGTTGTGCTAATGTACCGAATCAGGTATGCGCTTGTAGGTTTACCAACCACAGCATACCTGCACCTACTCAGTACCCCTACCCGTGGACACACTTTACGACTCGTTACACTATTCTGCGGAACAGACATACAGTCATTCATTTTTACCTCTGGTATCAGACTATGAAACCAGCTACCAGAGAACCTTTCACTGCCAAGACGTGAAATACTTTTAACGCAGGACTCGCAGACATCCACTAAATCATTCCTGCCTTATTATCTTGTTTTAATCTGCATTTACGTTTGCCCAGCTCAGACATTATGCAATGTATATCATTGCATAAATGAGACAATGCTCCAGAGAAGGCCCTGCACTATATATTGAAGAGGAGGTAGAAGAAGGTATTCTAACTTCAACTTTCCATATCCATATTCTAAGCATTCCAAATAGATATTTTAAAAGGTGTTAACATTTTTTGTTTATTTATTTAAAGAAATAAATAAACAAATTATTCATTAATCAATGTCTCAATTTTAAACTCATTTTATCTTGAGATCTTTCTTTCAATGATTTCAATGATTAAAATGAAAAACTTAACTATTTGAAGTCAGTGTAACTGAACTTTGTTGCCGATTTGCAGTATTTTTTCCTCTGATGTTTCTTCTCCGTCTGTAAAAACAAAGGTAGATTGTTATATTTTGTTTTAAAAAGCGCTTAAATAACTTTACTCAGTAAGTTATAAGATCTGTTTTCTTTTACTAAAACATGAATGACCTCGTTTTAGAGGAATGGATATTTTTAAAAGAAATATAAGACAAAACTAACTTTTTTTTTTAACTGAAAGACCTGGTGTACTTGATTTTTATACAATTGACTTTCAATCACACTTACGACGCATTCAAAGTCATAATTTTAAGTTGTATTCGTGTCAAGTGGAGTTTTTAATGTCATTATATTTCAAAGTTAAGTACTGACTTAAGGTCACACCTTCAATGTCAGTAATCTTTGCCCTTTGCTTTGTTCAAGAACTTGTATTTGACTTAAATAACTTAATTAAGTCTAAGCTTATGACACTCTATTTATTGATAAATTACGGTTGAGTTAAGAATGGGATTTTAACTTTTTAAAAAGAAACTATGACTGCAAATTTACACTTCCAATGTCTGTTGAAAGCATGCTTAAAAACAACGACACTTATTTTGGACTTGTACTACCATTGAGAATTAAAAGTATCTTTCTGTCAATGCAAAACAAAGTCATGGAAAAGGGAAATTTTACCATTACATTTTATGTGACATTAAAAGTAGGAATATCAACAAATATTCGAATATTTGTTCGAAGAGTTGTTATTCGAATGTGAATTTAAAATTGGAATATTCGTTCATTTCAGATTTCACAAAAGATATATCTATGATTAATTTTTATTAGAAAAGTATTTGAATTATCCTTGCTTTATTTACTAGAATCAATTTTGATTGCCTGATTTCTTTCAGTATTTTCAGATTGTTTAGATCTACCTAATTTCATTGTATTTTGTTTTGAGTTGGGTATGTCAGAAGAATTATTTTGCCCCTGCAATCAATATTTGGCAATATTTTAAGAGGTCTAGTACTGGATTACTGGATATTTTAGTGTCGAGTGAACACTCAATGTTGTATTTAGGGAAGGATTATCCGAGATTTTTAACTTGATGGTACTTGGGTATAAAGTGAATGTCTTTTGTACGATCTGACCTTTTATTTAGGACATTATAAGGAAAAAACTTTTTAGATTGTGAAAAATATGTACAAATTTTATTTACCAAAGGAAAATGTATTGATCATTGCATTACATATTTGATATCATTAGTAGTTTTGTAGTAATTTCAGGATAAATGAGTGAATTTATTGATTATCTAGGGATGTATATGTTCCTAAACATTATCGAAAAAAATAGTTCATTGCTTAAAAAAAATGTGAATAGAAGTGTTTGATAAAATTTTAAAACATCAAATTAAAGATAGTAATTATATTTCTTTTCAGTAAATAAATATGTGTACTTAAATCTGGACATTATAAGTCAATTTTGCCTTGTGTAAGATTATTGATTTATCATCATTTTGAGCTTCAAGATATCATTCTTATTTTTTTTCGGTTGTATAGCCTTATTTCAAACACTGGCAATTATCAAATATAGATTCCGATTTTGTACTTCACTAAAATTCTACGCTGCATTTTACTTTTGAATACCAAAGCAAAACCTGTCATGAGAGTAGGATCATGCATATTTATGACAAACCAGATTATATTTATTTTATCAAATATTCTAATACTTTGGAATTCTTTCACAGATGTTAGAAAATGAATCATTGACAAAATGCCTAATAAAAGAAAAGTAATGATATTATAACAATTCAAGCACCGAATGATAAATATAGTTGTAATGACAACAGCTCCTATGAAGATGAAGCATGTAGCTAAAGAACCGCCCAGAACACCATTATCTGCACCCGATGTCTCTAATTCTGTTTTCTTCAAAGTTATTGCTAAAAGAAAAAAAGGTGTATAATAAACTGTCTAATACAATTCAATAAATTGATCAATTCAATAAATCTAATCATCAGTCTATAAGTCGTAAGAAAAAAAAATATGCAAGGTTTTTTTTTTTACCGTTGTCATTACGTAAACTCAGGATCTTAGTACGACAATATGTGCCATCAGGATCTGAACATACTGTCGTCGGCGACAATGAGTGAGGGACAATTTTGCACATAATGCAGAGTAGCCGGTAAAATTTGTGCAAGGGTAGTGTCTATAATAAAGCTAAAGAAATATTAAATGCGCATTTAGAAGGGATTCATGTCTTGTGTCTAAGTAAAGTATTCAACGTATATTTGTTTATATGTCTTATATATTTAGAAATAAAGGATTTAAAATCATATTTTTCTTTTCTTCTCATGACTGTACAACTTTAAATAGAAATGGTGAAATGAGTTTGAAATTTAGCAGGGAGTATAAGTTTTTTTTTCGGAACTGCGGGGTATGAAAATATCTCCTTTTCTACTCCTTAGAATTACTGCAGAAAAACGAATTTAGTTATTTTAATTAATGAAATATATGGAGATAACGAACAGTATTTAAGCTCAAAAGTCCATTAAACATTACAAGATAGGTGCATAGCAAACACGGGGCTCCAACACATCAGAGGTGGGATCAGGTGCCATGGAGGAGTGAGCATCCCCTGCCGACCGGTCACACCCGCCGTGCGCTCCTTGTCATGATCGGGAAATAACGGTAAAATCTGTCGACAATACAGTGTGTAAATAACGGCCTAACAATTAATAAGTCATTCACCATTTGACTCAGTGATAAATTGTATTTGCTGACAAGGTCATTGTATCGACCATAGAACTTACGAAATGATGACTTTAAACGAGACCGCTGATATTCTTGTTTCATCAACTTGTTTCTCAATAATTTACCTCGTTTTAGAAATTGTACATATGTAGAGCATGCATTTGCGTATCGAATCAACTGAGAGATATAAACCCCGTATGCAGGTGACGAAGATATATTGCTGCATAAGTAAGGGAAGTTGACGATTGAAAAGTTAAAGTCATCACGTTTATCATAAAGCTTGGTTGTTAGATTACCATTAACGTCCTTTTCAAGTAAAATATCCAAATATGAAACAGATGTGTCAGACTGTAGTATCTTTCACAATCAAACCCTATAAAAAATTTCTGAAGTGACTGAAATCAATAACTATGGATTAAAGTTTTAAAATATATCAAATATGATTTTCTAAACAAACAACAATCTTATTAGCTTTTGAAAGCTTCTAATCCAAGAACAGATTTGAGCAAAAATCTGTTACAAATGCCTTTTATTTAATCTCTTACATGTACTAAATGGTCAAAACCTTTTGCCTTTGTATCATTTTGTATCTTTACATGACTACTTTACCATATGTAAAAACGAGAAAAATTTGAATATACCGAAGCATATGAAAAAATTTATACTCCCTAAAAATAGAAAAAAAAATAAACATAGAAGAAATTCGGATTAGCCAATATCTATTTAGGTTAAATTATATATCTTAATTTCGTAGTACTTATCATTTAGACCCTATATGATGAGATCTTTTAATGCAAAAAGAAAAAAAGCCTACTCTTTCGAAATATAAGTAAACATCATATGATTGGCGACAGTTTTTTTAATTCTTAATGTCAAGAAAAAATATTATAAACCTGACCTTACCTTGCTCCTTAAGAATATCCGATCCTCAGTCAGGAAGGATAACTCTTAAATTTATTATTTTATTTAAAAAAGCTCAAAATGGAGATTGAAATTGAGATCTTTTCGTGCAACAATTTTCATTTTATGCATCTTCATATGATTTAAGGTTCTTTGAAGTCATATACCCCATTCATACGACGTGATTTGCATACTTCAGTATATTTTACACATATGTAAATTTACTTACATGTGCAATTTTTGTCGTATGAACTGATTTGCTCATATGCAAATTCTGTACAGTTGAGTAAATCTGCACCTAGTCAGGACAAGGTGCAAATTAACTTTTGCATACAAGTTGTCGCAAATTATTTGCTCCAGTGTGTAAATTTTGTCGTATGAACGTCCAGCAAATTTACTTATGTAAGTTTTTCGTCTTGTGTATTGCATCAATCTCCATTTTAAGCATTATTACTGTTATGTATGCTTTGGCGTGTAAATTATCAGTCGGTGACATGGCGGCTAGAAAGCAAAGCTCTAAAAATGCGGTTTTTCAATGGTCATTCTTGCTCTACTTAAACTATTGTTGAAAGTGAATTAAGTTTTTGTAAGGGTAGATCTGTTGGTGTATGGCTTCAAAAGCCAAGTTTTCAAAGGATACGCTGGGTCGCATAGTACTTTCTCTAAATTGTTTTCTCCACTCTGGAAACAAGGAGCCATTATCTCCTCTGAAATAAGTTTTTGAATTTGCAAAAAAGCGGGCATCATGAACCTTTCCTGGCAAATCCATTTTTATGTCTCTATAGGGATAGCTGCGGTCGCAAACACCCTGCAAATTCAATGAGTAGAAACCTTCCTGTTCAAGTAGTCTCCATATGAATGCTTAGGAGTAATGATAGAAATATGCGTATATCAATCGCCCCACCACAGTTTAGCATTTGATGACTTTCTTCATCCTTTTCAGTTTTTAAACCTAGGCAGGCTACTGACAGATAAGTTGATGTTACAGGGATGTCAAGAACCTCGTTTAAAGTCAGCATTTCGTCAATAGATAGTTTTCGTATTAAGTATTTTCCCATCGAGTTATTTCCCTTGGCCACCATCTTGGGGGTCAAACTAGTAAATTTTCCTCTTTGACCAACTAATTTTAAAGTTGTATGGCAGAAATACATGGGCAAAAATCTTTCAATTACTAAACTTATGAATTAAAGAAAAGTTTTGTTTTATATATATATATATATATATATATATATATATATATATATATATATATATATATATATATATATATATATATATATATATATATATATATATATATATATACCGGTATATGTAAGAAAAACTGTTTTCTTTGCCTCACTGTCCGGTATGACAAGTTTAAAATGGTTGAATAATGAAGGAATCTGGGCTTGTTGACATCCAATATGGAGACCGACGGAAAATAACTAAATGGTGACTTTAGTCATTTTGTTAGCAAATATAATCTATCTCTGGGTCGTATTTTGGCTGACTTGTTTCGTACCAATTGTTAAGACTTCATTGTTTTTGACTATGGAATGTTCCGTCTACCTGATCATTACATTGGTCTCACGATGGGTGTGACCGGTAGACAGGGGGTGCTTACTCCTCCTAGGCACCTGATCCACCTCTGGAATGACCAGGGGTCCGTGTTTATTCCCTCTTTACATATTTGTATAGTTTAAAGACTTTTGAGATCGATCAGAGTTTGTTATCTTCACCATTTTCATTCTCCTTCTGGAAAATGCACATATTCTTCAAGCAGATGTTCCATGATGACCTCGCAAACTTCATGTTCGCAATCAAACACGGTAGATTTCCCAACACCAGAAAGATTTCCAATATTGTCCTTTATTCCGCTGAAGACCATAGCCACTAGATGGTAACAGCCACCATTTTCTTTACATCCAACGGCTCTTTTACAGTCTTTAGGCCGGGACCAAAGTATTTTCCAACTTTTCACAAATTTTAAGAAATTTTCCTTCTTTTTTTCGAAAATTCTCATACCAATCTTCTTCCTTAAAGTTGTTAAGAACGGTTCGGTCTGCCAATCAGTGGATCTGACTTTTCTTCTAGTTTTCTTCTGGAACATCCAAAAGTTAGTCCCATACCCAAATAGTAAGGAAATACCCCTTTTCTGTGAAAAATCACAATTCTAAATCTGTCCATCTCCTTTTCTCAAATGACAATATGAGGGTTTACTTACAGTACATAAATCTCGTTTGAACGCATAGCAAATTAACTTTTACTTATGTATGTAAATTAACTCATGTGTAAATTTGCACACATAAGCAAATTTTTGTCGTATGAATGGGGTATTAGAAACGGTCTTGTAAAAAGTTGATATTTGTACCCCATAAAAGAAAAAAAATGAATTCATTTTTAGAGAAATTGAATATCCTTTAGTCTAGCATTAGATACCACTGCTTATTAGCATGATATGAAATTAGATGTGATATGTGATGTCTAGCAATGATAGCACAAGCTTTGCACACTATGTATTATATGGCAATTGAAGTAGAAAGAAGAACTAAAATACTGTACAAGCATAAAAAAGATGCAATTTTCTCCAAATGCCTGGATACCTATATTTTTCCATCCTAAATTATATTTGTTGGTCAGTTTTCAATTAGAAAATGCATAACAGGTGTTTTTATTCGCATTTCCTTAAAATATATTTGAGATTTGATAATTTTCCCTATATAATATGATTAACTGTAATGATGAACTTTGAAGAAATTCCATGGGTAAATTCTCGCTACTATGTGAAATCAGAGACATTTTTGTGAGCATTTTCAATTACTGAAAAGCTGATTTTCAGAACCTGAGGATCGGACTACCTTAAATAAAACGGACAAATTTAATCTTGTTTATATCATCACTTAGTTATATTGTATTCTTGAATCAGTTAAAATTTCATAAATATTTAAGTACAACAAATATGGGAAGATTTTCTCCTTATGAGAGGAATGTGTTGGTGCACAATTAGTCACCTCTATGCATATTTATGCTTCATTATGGTCTTATAGTGACCTTATAGTGATTCTAATGTTTCTTCTCCTCCTAATTTTTTTCCAGAAATTTTGTGCAGGCAATTTCTCGAAAACTATTCAGTGGTTATAAGTGAAACTTTCAGGAATTATGTGTCGTCTAATGGACTTTGTTCTTCAGAAGGAAAATTTGGAAAACTCGCTTTTGGTTCCAAGTAATTGGCAGTTTTCTGATTTCAAAATGAAATTTGCCCCCCCCCCCCTCTTTTTTTTCAAAATTGGCTTAAGATATGAAGTGGAGACTTGTTAGAGATGATAGATTAGGACTTCTAGATGAGGAGAATCACCTTTAGGTGCATTGTCAATACTTCCGGTCGCTACCGGAAGCGAATTTATAAAGTGGAATTCTTTAACTTTTTTGTTTTTCAATATTTTTAAAAAAATAATATTTAGAAGGTTGATAGATACTTCCTGCAAAATGCCTAATATATAATTTGTTTGAAAATTGATAAATACATACTCTAGATATTCGCATTTCTAAATTTGAAGTGGTGGTGCAAAAATGTGGCTGTCTTCGTAAACTCCAACGAGCAGGTCGGAGTTTAAGGAGACAGCCGAGCTTGCCAAAGAAAAGGCGCGAAGATTTACTCATGATATTTGGTGCGAAATAATGTATCGTGTCCCGCCTTTCATAGTAGACAAATTGACTGATACAGTAGATTACATGTGCAATAATGCCCAACATTGGTGCCAAGCACATTAATAGAAGAAGAAGAAGATTAAAGGTGCAGAAAAGGATTACACGGACATGTCTGTTTGGAATTGAATGGAATAAAAAAAAAAAAGAATGCATAAAGAATAAAGGAAGTAAAAACATCAATAGTTTTAGATATTTGCATTTCTAAATTTTAAACGGTGGTCCAAAATAGCGGATATAGCTAATATCCTATAATTCCGTGCTATGAAAATATTAACCTGCCTGACGCTCTTTACTTCGGTCAATGAGTGCAAATAAACATCGATGACGGTTGGATAACATTGTGCTGGAGAGTGGTTTCCATATTAGTTTTTCACGCAGGCGATCTGGATTCAATCCCGACTATGTCCGATTTTTTTTTTCATTTTTAAGCCTAAATTTACATGTTCATCTTTATAATTGATGTTTGACTTTTTTCTGTCTAAATTCTCCACTGTTTCAATTTTTTTATAAATAAAAAAATCTTCAATATCCGAGTATTTTTTTAAAGATATATTTATAGGTGATCTTTCCCACAAGCACATATAAATGTAATTTTACATGCAAAGAATATCACTTAATATAAGGATGGTTATTCGGATGGGAGACCTCTCGTTCCTCGCAACGAGTTTCTAGTTTTTCTTCTAATATGATTATAGTTGTAAAATATGGGATAAAAAGTTAAGTTTACGCACAGTAAAATGCGAAAATTGTTATCTATACGAAGAAATTGCACCAAAAGAATTGATATCTTTTTCTTTACATCAAATTTGAATTAAAAGCCCTGGCATCAAAAAAGTTGTCCAAAACATATACTTAAGTTTGACTTTATGATTCACATAATGATAATGTTGAAAAGAAATAGCATTTTTTTTTTCAATTTATGGATTCATTGGTGCGTTAACTCATTGACTGATTTATAATCTTTAGTGTTTTCATGATGAAAATGGTGATAGCCTTTGCATTTAACCCCCCCCCCCCAAATAAATAAAATCAAATAATTGTTGATTAATTTAAAATCAATTTATTAATGATAAAATTCAGTATCTGATTGAAATCTGCCAGCTTGAGAACATTTCACTCAGGTAGATGTTTCAAAAACTTTGGGAAATGACAATTTTGAAATCCCCATATGTATTCTTGCAAAAGTGTTTAATTATAAACATACCGTATAAGCAGAATTTTTAGCAAAGATTCAATTTTGGCATTATTAGCGAGGGTTCTGAGATCGCTAAAATTGAATGTCGCTAACAATTTATTTCGTATCGGTTGTTATAGCCATCTCTCTTGACATTATTAAATCGCTAAATTACTTCTCGCTAAAAATATATACCGATTTTGAGGGATAAATTGCTAAATTTGCGTCTCGCTAAAATTTCCACTTATACGGTATAAATATTATATAAGTTTAAGACTTTAAAACTTTTATGGGAAAAAAAAAACAATTTGTGGTCTTACCACGGGAAGAAAAATGGGTTTTAACTAATAATTTTACGTTTTGGATTTTCAACGAATCTTTTTTTTTTCAAATAATTTGTATATTAAAATATATACAAATGTTAGAACATGTACTCTAAGACCTATGAAAAGTTAAATGTTTATGACATTTTGCAAATACTGTCACCGGCGAGAATATGTGCGGTAGGGAAAGAATTGTGACGTGCATTGAAACCCCTAGAGGCATAAACGGTCTCAGCTGTGTCTGACCTGAGTTATCATGGTATCGATGGTTTGAGATTATTACATCAAGGTACATTATCAAATTTACTCCGATATTAAAAAGAAAATAACCGTCAGAAGATTGCATGTCATTTCTAGGGAATGCAACTGAGGAGTACCAAGATAACGTAGAATTATTATTTTAATTTTTATATTTACACAACCTTAAGGAACTAGAAAGTACCTTTATGATCACATTTTTCTCCTGTGTATGGTTGTCCACAGCCTTCCATGCAAGTACCATTAAACCTATTACATGTTGTGTTGCCAGCACAGTGTCCACTGCATGTTTCTGTACAATTTACTCCATATTTTCCATACGAACAACCTAGTAATTTTTCAATGTAAAACATATATTCGTTTATTCCACATATACAATCACATAGGTGAGTAGGCCTTTGTACTGATTTTATACATATAGGATGAATCAATCCCGCTAAACCTTTAATTTATTCCCTATATAAAATGCATGATAATTTAAGTGGACGTTAAAAAAAATATTTGCAAGCATATAATATCCCACATTTTCCCTTGCTGGAGTCGTGCTGTCGTTGTTTAGTACATGTAAGACTCATTGCTGTCTGCAGAGAAAATCTCGGTCATATTTATGCCGCACTTCTTTCAAAATAATAAATAAATTGTGATCCTGAGGGCCAAAGAATTTCTTTAACGCATGAAATCATCTTAGTATTGACAAATTAATAATACATAAGCACTGGAATGGATTTTATATACTGTCAGCTGCAATATTAAAATTTTCATTCGCTAGCCTTCCATGCCTTCTTATAATAAGCTTGATCCATCCACAAAAAGCCAAACACATGTATCAGATATAAAAAAAATGTTTTTTTCGAATCAGATGGATTTAAATTCTTTTTATATAATATGCAATCAAAAGAAAAAAAATAATACACAACCAATAATGGAATAGATTTTATATCTTGTCTACTGCAATGTTGAAATTTTCAGTCATGACCTGTAACTTAACCACGTGGATGAAAGGTGGGGTTGGCTGATAAACTTTGTCAATAACGGTATCTTTAATTGTGAATCAACATTTTGAATATTGAGAGTAGCTATTCTTACAGAAATAAATGGCAGATAGTTTCTTGAAAATAGGTTTAAAAACTCTAGAACTCTAGGATTGAACGACAATACGGAGTCAAATATTTTAATGGAAATATGCCAAAAATGTTTTAAAGTCATTCTTTTGAAGGAAGCCCGGGTCAAAATTACTGAGTTGATTGTTGTAGACCAAGAGCACCTTGGTCTATAATGTGGTTAACAATAGTGCTTCTAATTTTATCAATTCTGAATGCTTACCTTCCGAACAGTTAAATCCCATCCATCCTGCCTCACACCCATTTGTACATCCGCCATGGGTGTTATTACACGTCTTGTTTAAACAATTATGGTTACATAAATTGGAACAATTCCACCCATACCATCCCATAGCGCAAGCTTTAGGGAAAAAATGAAAACAAATATAAGAGAAGAAGACTCCACATTCTGCAAGTACAAAAAATTAGATGTTCTCAAACAAGATGTTAAATTTTCTTTTTGCTCTATTTTTGAAAAATATCTAGGCTACTGAAAATAAAAAGAAATACATATTACGTTTTTCGCATCGTTGACCCATGTATCCGTCGTTACATCCCTGAATACAAGTCCCGTTGAAAGGATCACATTCATTACTGAGGCAATTGAAACAAGTGTCTGAACAATTTCTGCCGTAAAACCCTTTGTCACATGCTACAAAATGTAAATGCATTAGATGAATCAATTAGAATTCGAAAATTCAATATTACACTTGACATAGAAATGTGAATGTTACGTTAGATCACTAAATTTTTTGCGACACCTTATTTTTGCGAGATAGACATTTACTCTTTATAAGCGAGACAAAATCGAATTGTGGTCAATGCTCTATATTATCTTTAGGAATACTAATATACACAAGAGTGATATTTTCTCGAGCACATTATCTCGCGTTATTACGCGAAAATAAGGTTCTCACGAATAAAAAAAATTGATTTACAGTATTATTCTGCATGTTCTATATAACCGTTATTTCTGCAAATTGAACTGATAGTAGTCTAAAATGAAAATACCCTTAGAACAGTTGGCAGTACTCCAACCTGGCTTGCACCCAGCTATACACATCCCATCCCTGTGATCACATGTCTGATTAACACAGTTTTCATTACATTGTTGTGAACAGTTTTTTCCATACCATCCATCGTTGCAACCTAATGAAATAATACCGTAATGTTTCCTGCAATAGTTGTGATTTCAACTATAAAAAAGACCAATACAGTTCATCATAATTTAAATCATTCTCATTTGTAGTATCTCAAAACTATCGTTAAAATAAATTGCTTAACATTGCACCTCGGAACTCAGAAAATATGAATTACACACTTTTATCACATTTTGGTTCCATGTATCCATCTATGCAGCCATTTATACAGTTTCCATCTGTTTTGTTACAATGAAGACTGGTGCTGCAAAATGAACTGCATGTGTTTGTGCAGTTTTCTCCATACAATCCAAACTTGCAGGCTACGAGAATGTATATAATTATATAAACATTTAGGAAAAACAAATTGTTCATGCACAACACTTATGATTTCATTGAACACTTTTACTGGAAATCAATTTATTAATGAATATTGATGTAACAAGATTTTCGTAGAATTTATTTTTTTTTCATAGCACGGCAACTATTAGATTAGTTTATTTGTGCATTCTTTTCAAACATTAGTGGTTTTGCACTTTTAAGACATGATGGTTGGGAATGAATTTCAAAGAAAATCGTCCTTGAACATTTTTACAAGTTTATTGCTATTGTATATGTGAATACTATTCAAATACTTGACACTTTTTGTACATACCTTGACTGCAGTGTGAACCTGTCCATCCTGATTTACACCCATAGCTACAATCTCCGTGTACATTATGGCAGAGGTTATCAATGCAGTTAAAACTACATTCCCTGGAGCAGTTTCCTCCATACCATCCTTTGTTGCATTCTTTTAATATAAAAAAAGAAGACAAAAACATAAACAGTCAAAAAGTTAATACCAGCAGTTATTAGTTAGTGCAGTTATATATCTTGTTCAAAACGATTTACAATTAATAAAATTTGTCATCTCAGACCTTCAAAGGAAACAATGCTCTTGGATAAAAATAACTATTTTTATTTTTTACAATGAAATTTTATAATACCCCTCTTATTTTAAAACTTGAGACATGCAACCATGATATACATATATTTAGTCGCTGAAAAACAAAATATTATCTTTTTTAAAGAAAAATCACTGACTGTTTTGTTTTTCTTCTATTAAACTTTATTTAAGTTTTCTTAAAACTGCACGTATTTGAATTTCATTTAAGGTGTGTAAATCCAGAAATCTATTGTTATGCATGATTAAGTATGTTTTCTCTCATCTAACATAAAACCTGTGATAAGAGTAATGGAATTTCTTAAGTAATATCTTTTTTATTGAGTGTTATCTAACAATTTTTCCTTCTCCTATCAGCATACTTTCAGTGCAGTTATTTCCTTGATATCCATCTTCACACCCTTCAATACAAAATCCATTTTCTTGGAAGCAATTTTGACCTCGGCAGTTGATATTACAAACCTCAGAACAATTCCGACCATAAGTGCCTTTTGAACATGCTGTAAGAAACAAGTATTACTATTTTTGTATTTTCAAATGAGATAAATTTGCATTGCAATGCATAATTTAGCGCCTCTTTTGAATTTGCCAATCTGTAAGGTAATTAGGAATACTTTTGACAAATTCCATAATTTCCTTATTATATATATATATGTAAATACAATAATTCAATTTCTTGACATTTTTATACATACATTGACTGCAGTGTGAACCGGTCCATCCTGGTTTACATCCAAAGCTACACTCTCCATGTACATTATGGCAGAGTTCCCTTTGACAGTTAACGCTGCAATGTCTGGAGCAGTTTTCTCCATACCATCCTTCGTTGCACTCTTTTGATATGGTACAAAGAAGAGAAAAAACATACACAAGTTATAAATTTAGTGCAGTACAAAATAGCTCACAAATAATACAATTTGTCATGTCAGACCTTTAAAGGAATCATTGCTGTTGGAGAAAAATATTTTTTTTTACAATACCCCTTTAATTTTTTTGAAACACGACAATGACACACATATATTTATTCGCTGAAAAACAAAATCTTTTCTTTCTAAATCTCCAATTTGTGGTTTTTGTTTTTCCTTCTTTCTTAACTTTATTTGTTTTTATTGCAATTGCGTGTATTTCATTTTGTTTTAAGGTTGTGCCTGTAGGACTGCTTTGTTGTGCATGATATGTATGTTTTCTTTCCTCTCAAAGAAAACCCGTGTTATATATTAGTAGACTAAAAGTATAATTTCTTTTCTATCCAATGTTATTTGAGCATCTTTCTTATTGTTATCATCATACTTTCAGTGCAGATATTTCCTTGGTATCCATCTTCACATCCTTCAATACAAAATCCATTTTCATGGAAGCAGTTTTGACCTCGGCATTTGGTATTACAGCTCCCAGAACAATTTTGACCATAAGTGCCTTTTGAACATGCTGTAAGAAACAAGTATAAATATTTTGTTTTTTTAATGAGAGCATATTAAAGATTTTTCCTGTGTAGAATGTTTAAAAACCCTATCTTCATAGAAGATTTGCAAGTTTAAGATTAAACTGATTGATTTAAAATGCAGATCGTACTTACAATTATTGCACAATTTCCCAATATACCCAGGTATACAGCTTTCACATTTTCCACTTGCCTTGTCACAAAGTAAGCTGTTTCTACAATTACTGCTGCATTTATACGTACAATTAGGTCCATACCACCCATCATGACACGCTGAAAATACGACAAATGAAAAACGATAATATTTTATAACACAAAATGCGAATTGTAGTTATATTCCCCACTTTCCTTTAAATTCCTTGTTACTCTACATTTGCCTATATGCATGATCTTAATCTTTAGACATGTACTTTAATCATGACTATTACATACATACACACTGTACATGTACCTCCAGGTGACAACAGAAGCAAATTTCATTTGAAAATATTACGTCTAAAAGTTGCTTGGTACGAGGTTTGTTAGGAAAGTTCGCGGACTTCTGTCGTAACTTTTTAACTAACATCATATTATGTCCAAATTAACAATAAAATCAAATGAAGAGTATTAAAATTTTTTAAAATATTGATTTATTTCAGTCTTATACAGAATTAAAACGGCAAAAATGAGATCGCGGAGCAGGGCAAAATTTAGTAATTAACAAACAATACACTGATAAATATTTGTAATCATATCCTCTGTAAAATGGTGAAAAACGAGAAAAAATATGTTAAAAACGAGTCGTGCATGTGTACTTAAATGAAAGACAATCTGTATCAGACGAGGGCGATCTCTGAAGAAACGGATTGTCTATAAAATAAATCTGATCAAAAACTCTTTAAAAGAATAGAAAGGTCATGGAAAGAGATAGGCCTTTCACAGTTGCTGATCTTGTGAAAGTTACGCAGTAAAAGAATTTAGACATAGACAAATGAAATTATGACACTGGAACAATTGATAGCAAAAAATTCAAGTAATAAAGAAAGTTTTTAATGAATGATCATTGGACCATACTGTGTGAAATATATTTGGAGAGTATTTTTGAGAAACTCATGACGCTATGTTTTTTTTTTTATGTAACCATGTTGTGAAGTGTGCTCCGTGGCTGCAAAACCTCTTGATTTTAAAGTAATCTATCAAATCACATGGAATGAACCTTCACACATCAACACAATAAATATTGTTACATATTATAATGTACTCATTTGAAATTTCTTGAAAATAGTATAACGAAAATCATCAGAGTCAGAGAACTTTCCGAACAACCCTTGTATTTAGAAAAATTAAGACCCGGCTTTAAAATTGACCCGGAATTTATTGTTCAATGTTGAATATTGAACCAAGGATGCTTTTCATTTGTTAGAAATTAAAGTCGTGGAATTTACACCAGGTTCTTTTTTAAAAAGCCTTTTTATTTTTTTTTTCTTAGCAGTTTGACCGCTAGCTAGGTGTTGCTCATGTTGATTATCAACCCTGATTAAGGAGGTTGGATCCTGCCATCAAAAGTAATGAGAATTTTTTATCAAGTATATTTTTAGAATTTATACACATAGCTTTATTAAAAATCAAAACAAAAAATGGGGATCAATGCGCTTCTTTTGGCGCTACAGAGCATTAGTTTGACCTTTTTGCACTGTAAATACGTCTTACACATAAATCAATTTTTAAAGTTTTTCCTTCAATATTTTTTGTTCAAATAAATTATGGTGAACAAACACAGTCTTATTTCATCTTTAATAGACACATTAAAATTTGTAACAACGAAGAAATTTTCGAATTACTCCGCATGTTCAATTATTTGACCCTTTTGCACTCAAACATTTTCATTTTTCTGGCATTAAAATTTAACAAGCAAAAAAAAAAAAAAATCATTTGAAAGTAATGACATTTTCCTGAATTTAAGAAGAATGGTTAAAAGTATCGTATATATTCAGAAAAGAAAATTAATAGTGCGGGTCTGTGATGTTAATTTTTAGACATTACTAAAATAGTGCTAATTTTAAGCTTAAATTAGGGCTATTTTTTTCTTCATTTCCACGATATATTTGCTATATTTATCAAATATGATGATAGAATTCATGACAGTTTTTTAAATAGATAATTTAGGACTAGTATAAAACAGTCCACTGCACAAAATAACTATGTGTGCAGACTGCATGTAAAAATAGGAATCCAAACTTAACATACTTTAAACACTTCGAAAGAGAAAAAATGATCATTTTCTTTTAAAAAACCTTCCGCCACAAAATATAGTTCCTCACTTAATGCTTTTGGTATGGAATTTAATCATGGAGTTTTAACTGAATATAGTTAAATTGGCATTGTAGAATCCAAATTTATTGTAAGAGTTTAAGAGCCATTCTCTGTAATGACTTGAACTTTAATATAGGAGCTGTGGCACGCATAGTCTCAGAATTTCTCCAAGCTCTCTATGATAAAAGTCTTTGATACCGTAAACTCAAATCAGGCAAAAATTGGTTGCTACGTGTCATGGTTACCATAGCAACATGTCCTAAAGTTTGAAAAATGGCATTTTTCAACATCTTCAGAGTGCCAAAGTTAACGTTTGCAACAAAGCAAACAAGTGGCAATGACTGTTTCTGAAAGTTGAAGGCCTGGTGTCTTAAATGCATGATAAACATGTTTGGTAAATCACCTATAACATACGTTACTATGGAAACAAAGTATTCAAAAGTAATAATTTTGTTCATTTAATTTTATAAAGTCATACACTTAAGAATAAAAACAATTCTAGGTTGAAATGCAAGCAAATAATAGAGAAGAGATCCTTGTAACATATACCAAGGACAAAATATGATATTTCATATAGGTTGGCAATGGTTGCCATGGTTTTAATACCACGAAGGGATTTTAAATTTATTCTCTTAGTGTTTTAATCTTATCCTATCTTTTTAAAAGCATATTTCTATATAACTGATAATCAATTTTTAAAGGCCTTGGTGTGACCCTAATTTTCACATTTCAAAAAAATCAATTTCAATTCTTTAAATAGTGCGTTGCTATGGAAATAAGGCGAAAAAACATGCATAAAAATCTGAAAAATACTCTGTTTCCTTGGATACGTACCGTTGTATGTAGATTCCCAAAACTTTAATGATTGATATATGTGAACAACTAACCTGACTTTCAATTTTGACTATCACCCAATCTCTAACTGGATGCAAAAAGCTGGCACATAGGGTCTAATATTGACAAAAAATTAACAAAATCGAACATTTTCTCTTCTTGGTAACCATAGCAACAGTGTTGTATTTTTCAACAACCTTTATCAATGTATGATATTCAACTTTAATTCTACAAGATAAGTACTATTCAAGGTGATTCAAATAATATTTTTCTTGATTAAAAGGTTAATAAATTCCTAAAGCAGCAAAAAAATATCACTTTAAACAACTAGTACGTTGTTTCCATGGTTACACTGCAAAGTAACAATTAATCTCAATTTTTCTTATGTTTTCGGTGCTGCAAGGTCCTAAGGATGCATATGTGCCAGTCATGAATTTTATTGTTTTTCCTCACGATAGTAGCATTAACCCAATCATAGCAACAGATTTTGCATGGTGACACTGTGTAACCATGGCAACCATGAAAATTATTTTTAGAATAATATTGCCAATACCTAATTACATGAGGTCAAATATTTTTCATTGTTTCTCTTACGTTGTTGAATGAGTTTGATCATGTAAAATCTATCATTTGTGACTTTAGAGCGTTTTTCAGCATTTTTCAGCATCTAAAATGTATTCCAAATGTACCCATGGTTACCACTTACTTAGAGATAAATTCTAAATAGTTTCTTTATAGCATGAGTGGCAACAAGGTGTCATGTTTTTGGGAGAATGGTTTGTTTGTTTTTCTTAGTCTTTATTAAGGCTTAATAAAGATTTAAAGTAGCTGAAAATCTCAATTTTTTTCAACTTTTCTGGCTGTTACCATGGCAACCAAGACACATACCAACGAAATTTTATTTGATATATGTTTGTGGTGTCAAATTGTAATAATGGGCAAAGTTTCATCAAAATTGGTGACCATGCGTGGCAAAGAAGTTTAAGTGGTTACAGAGAATCGCTATTAAAACGTTATGCAGAATTTTTGAAATATAGGTTAAGATAAGAATCAGCTCAAAAGCTCAGGAGCGAACCTCGTTAAAGAGTTTTGCCTTGTGTTCGATCTAGAGGTTGATACACGAGAAGTGTTCCAAAAATTGTCATTTCACCTTCCGCGTGAAAATCGTGTAAAAATTGATACTTTAGACTGATCACTGAACCGTAGCGGAAGAAACTTTCATGCTCAAAATTTCACTGACTCAGCTACTGGGTACATTGCTTTATAGCGTATTCATTACACTATACTCAAAATGACTGGAAAAAGAGCAAACAATGCACTTGAAATTAGTACCTATATAAAAGGTAGATCATTTTTTGATATTAAACCCGTAGATATTCATCGTGAGGTCTGTGATATCTATGGGAATGGTCAAATGTCTCATAGGTCTGTTTGTAGGTGCGTTGCTAAATTTAAAACAGGTTAGGAACACCTCAAAGATGCTGCTCTCCACGGTCGCCCTGCAACAGTTGCAACCAATAATAACATCGTAAAAATCCACCAAATCTTACAGAAAGACGCAAGATATACCGTGAGACAATTGGCGCTGATGACAAACTTGTTGTTAAATGAAGCACGTGTTCATGGTATTTTGAAAAAAAAACCTAAAGCTTAGAAAGATAAACTCTAGGTGGATACCTCATTTGCTTAGCTATGAACAAAAGAGAGTCCGTGTTGAAAATGCAAGGTTATTAAAACTGTATCCAAAATAAACGAAAAAAGAGTTTGATAATTTAATTACTGGTGATGAGACCTGGGTATACTATTTTGAGCCAAAACATAAGAGTTCTAACAGAATCTGAGCATCAAAGAATGCAAAATGTCCTAGTATTGATAAAAGATTACGAACCGTAAAGAAGGTTTTATATGTTATTTTCTTTGACAATAAAGGCCCTGTCATGCAAATTCCTGTGCCAAATGACAAAACAGTCACAAGTGACTTCTATAAAAATGTTGTTATTAAAACACTGAAAAAAAATATTACGAAAGTCGTCGCCTCAAAACAGGTATGAAGTATCTCCGACTTTTGCACGACAAGGCGCCTGCACACAAAGAACGCATTGTGACCGAATAAGGTTACTGTTCTACCACACCCCCCGTTTACTCCA